CAAATCACATAAACTGAAATTATGACACTGCTCATTGCTTGCCCTTTTTTACTACCTAAATTATGGAAAAAATTTAACTGTTTGACAAAAATAAGCAGATGTTATGTGTGTATCAGTGTTTTTAAGATGAATAAAGTGTGAAAAGGTTGACAGCCGTAGAGATCAATATAACACATTTTGCAGTTCCACAGATATTTTTATCTTATCTTATTTTGTTGATTTTAAGACACATTTACTGTATAGTTCAGTCTCAGCGCTCTCATCAACCCATACTTGCATCCAATTTCCCCATATTTCTCAAAATTTATAACAACATGTACACCTTTCTTTCCTTGACGTTATCACAAATTGTTTCTGACACTGTACAGTGTGTTTAACCCTCATAATGTCTTGGGTTCATTTTTGACCCCATTTCAGTGTTCTTTATGTCATTAATATGGCATTTTTATCTAATTTCACCAAAATAACATGGATGGTTCCCTGGTATGGGAGCTCCACATAAAATCAATTTTGACCACTTTATATAACATACACACACATACACACACACACACACACACACACCACAAATACACACACACACACGCAGACACACACAGACACACACACACCCCAAAGGACAACAGGTGTCATTATTTGTCACCATTGAAAAAAATAAATGCTTTCAAAACAGTGTCCTGACTAAACTTTGACATATACCAGATAATCAATCAACATATATTCCTATCATATTAACTATAGTCAAAATTATTCAGATTTGTAGCTTTTTTTAAAACAAAAAATGCAATATAATTTCGCATACATGACGTTTACTGACCCTAAATTATAGACATTTGGGTCAAGCTTGGTGTTAATGAGTTGGCATTGAGTTGACTAATAAGGTGAAATACAGTATTGGATCATAATTCATACACTATGTTTTTTAAACAAGTCAAAACAGACTGGGTCCAAATTCATGATGGAGGAACACACTGCATAGTCAATGGGGAAGGTATTATGAGGGTTAAGCCCTATGTCTCTTAAAGTCTACTCTTTCCACCCAAACAACCAACTACACAACAGTTTGTTTTCTGAGTACTCAGAGACAGAAATATTCAAGCAAATTTCAGATGTGAGTCTGAAGCGGCATTTCCCAGGCAAAACGTTATCATCCCAATCTCCACACAGATTGCAAATGCAGTGAATGTACTAGTAGTCAGTGTTTTTTTAAAGTAGCCTTTAACCTCACCAACTAATGTGAGTTGATGATGTGCTCCTTGGCCTTTGAAGTAACACTGAATTAGGTCATATTTGCCAGCCCTGAGACTGCAAAAATAGATGAATAAATGAAAATCAATGAGTGTTAGTTTACGCCAAAATTCTGAATGATAATGACAAAACATTCAGTATTCTTTCCAAAGTAATTAACAGTAAAAACTGTTGCAGTGTGCTTATTATTTATTTATTTATTTTATTTATTTATTTTGTTATTTTCAGTAGTTTAAGTCACCAGAATGCACGAAACATGAATGGATAAAAACACAACTTGAATGTGATGCTGGTTTGCTGGATGTTGTTAATACATTAAAAAACAATTTGCTCTGAGGTGTTTTTCAGCTTTTCTGCCTCAATTAAGCAATACATTGATTAATTTAGCTTTAAATGATTTTAAATGGTTGTACTAATAGTGTTCTCCATTTTATTCCTCTATAACTAAACAGTTTATCATTAGTTAAATTATTTTTCTCATTTCAGTTATACAGTATCAGTATATGTTTAGTCAACTATTGTTGTGCATTTGATTGTATACAGTAGCTCTGTGTCCCCACTAAGCTATACATATGTTAGCTGAGGGATTAGCAAAGTAACTTTGTCAGATATTCCTTCTATCCAGCAAAAAACTTAGCTGTTGTTAACGGTGCGACTGAATCTTTTAACAATATCTTTAACATAAGTTTATTAACAATAGAACTGATTCAAGAAGTATCAAGTTTGTGAAAGACAAGTTTTTTTCTTTTGTGGTTGTTGTGTGAAGTCTGCTTAGAAAGAACATGGAAGTGATGTAAGCCAAATTCTGTGCTACTAAGGATAGACTGGGTGGTGGGTGTTGCTGTTAAAAGTTATTTTCACACAGTAAGTCATCCACAAAGAGGAAGACACCGCCATCACCTACAGACCTGCATTAAAGAAGAAAAGCCTCACACAGCGAATGGACACAAAATGTCTCTACTGGGATTAATCCTTATTTTTGTGCTTCACTTTGGAAGGGTAAAATCTCTGCTTTCTTTTTCAAGGTAACTGAATACTACTTACTACTAGAGAAACTAGAGGGTTTGAAATTAATATATAATATTAAAATTTAGGGGAACAAGTCAGTATTTTCCTGCTTTTAGAGTCACTTTGATGAGCTCTTGATAAACTTTCTGCCTCTAATAATGAGCCAACTTTTGTTGGTGGAGGGGACAAGAACAAGGGATAGCAGTATGAGGTCTTATAGATAACATCTGAAATGAATATATACTTCAGCATACGGATGTCAAGGACAGGAAATAATGATCTCATAGTCTGTTTGCCCTCTGCCAGGGGGGTGGAGATTACAGAAATAAAAATTAAAATCCTTATGTTTAACGGTTTAGTCTCCATTACGGATGATTTTATGTGTAATGTGTAATTTTTTACAGAACATGTAAGGAATTAATTAAATTAATAGTTTATTATTACCATTTAAATGAAAGGAGAGGGGAGCTTTAGCCTTCAAAGTGAAGGACAAAAATAAGGATTGAATTCCAGTAGAGACATTTTGTGTCTATTCTCTGTCAAGCAGCAGACGTTTGGTGTGAGACTTTTCTTCTCTACTATAGATCTGTAAATGGCAGCAATGAAACAAAGTTCCTCTTTGTAGACGACTTTATTGTGTGAAAAATCAACTTTTAACAGCAACACCCACCACCCAGCCTGTACAAGTTCCCACAGATGTTCAGACTATATGCACTTTCAATGTTCTTTCTAAGCAGACTGCACCACAACAGTCCACAAAAGAAACTTTTTGTCTTTTCACAAACTGATACTTCTCATACAAAATTGAGTAAAAATATAACTGTATACAACGATTTTTAAGTCATTTAAGATACATTTAAAAGTTGGTTCACTTGAAACAGAGATACAGGATCAATACTCTACAGATGCCAAGGAAGTGATGAGACTTCCCAAAATTACACACAGTACATGTTAAGCATGCATTAATATACTTATTTTTTCTCTGCTGTAGGTTTTAAAATGTTATCAGATTTAAACCTTTATCTCCCACAAAGTCAACAAGCTGGAAATCAAAAGCTAATCTTTTATCAAGCTGGATGATGGTGCTTTGGCTCATCCAAAGAATTTCGTGGAGAGGTTTTAGCCCAGACTCAACGTGTGATAACATACAGAGTAATGGAAATTACATCATTGTTCATTCTGTTCACTTCAGGGTCAAAAGAGGGAGTGAACATGTTTTGGTGAGAAACCAGAAACAGAATAACAAGACGAAGTCTCCAGCATGCTAGCAGCATCTGTGTTACTGTACTTTGGCTGAATGGCTGCTACATTTAGATTCAGCATGTTGTAGCATTGCTTATGCTCATTAGTAGAACACAGACTACAGCTGAGGATTATGGGAATGTGTTTC